GTCTATAATTTGTGGGTTTACTTTTGCAATCCGATTTCTAAATAGGGGAAACAATTGCTATTTTCATATCATCTGGAAAACTACCCGATAATATTGACTTATTGAATGTTGTTGATAACGACTTAGCAATTACGTCAGCACAATCTTTCAATAGTTTAGCTGAGATTCTGTCATGTCCTGTAGCTTTATTTGTTTTAATAGTATATAACAGTTTAGAAACATCTGTTTCAGTTACTAACTGAAAACGGAAAATGGTGTTTAAGGGTTTTACATACGATTCTGGTATCTGGTTATGTTCCGGAAGATCTTTTGCTAATTTGGGTCCTATGTCTGTAAAAAAATTATTGAAAATATTTGCAATTTCTCCTGGTTCAGTTACTATATTCCCGTCATCTGAAATTTCATTTATATTGGTGGATTTTACATTCCTATTTGTTAATTCATCAACTTTTTTCCACATTTTCTTTGGATTTGCCTCGCAATTACTAAATGCCTGCATGTAATAATTTGCTTTCGCATTTTTAACTATTTTAACCACTTCATTTCTAGCTTTTTTGTAGGCTTCATGCGCACACTTAGACCCAGATTTTACCGCCTGTTTTTTTAGAAAATCTCTATTATGTATTCTATCTTTTATTCTAGGCGTAATCCAGGGTATATGTTCATTTTTGACTTTACGGGTAATCTGGTGTGCGTGCATGTCTGCAACCGCTAAGAACCTTTCCTTCCAATCATTCCAAACAACATTTGGATCTTCACTATTTGATAGCGTTTCTAGTACCTTACTTAAATCATATTTAAATGCATCCACTTTATAATTCTTATATTTCCTTGTATTTATTATTTTTGGTTGTTTACGGGAAATAGATATTTTCCTTTGTATATAAATAAGACTATGGTCGCTGATTCCTACATGTTCTATTTCTGCTCCAACAATATTTTCAGGTTTATTAGTGAAGGCTAAATCAAGCAAAGTAGCGGTATTATCTGTAATTCTAGTGTGTCCTTTTATTAATTGCTCAAATTGGTATCTGGTCGCAAGATCCTTTAGTTTACCGGTTTGCGCACTTCTGTTACTGTGGTCAGGGTCCCAATTACAGTTGTAATCTCCAATAAGGATGATTTCTTTATTTTCCGCGTCCATTTTCTTTAAACAATCTTCAAAATTTTCAAATTTTTCAGATCTGGTATCTGGTGGTCTATACCAGGCATTGATTAAGAATGGTTTAGATTTTGGCTTAGAGATTTCAACTGTGATTGCCTCCAGATGTTCGTCCTCTAGGTCATGCCTTTCCTGATAAGTTATTACACTTCTTATATAGATAGCTACCCCACCACCATTTCTGTTTCTATCATTTCTGACTATATCGTAACCTCTTATATTCACATCCTGATTTGCTACAGTACACGGTGCCACTGTGTCGTGAATTGCCTCCTATATTCACAACAACTCACTAAAGTAGAGATTTCAAACGCTTTTATGAAAAATATATTTATTCTCGCCCAGTCTCAACACAATCACACAAATTCTTGCAATGTACAAATCGCATGCTTTTGATTGACACTTGCGCATTAATTAACTTCAGGTATACCATAAACTGTTAAATATTAAATATTGGCAATCTCCAACATGGGATAATCCGTTGCCGGAAGCCAGGAATCCTGGCTAAGATTGAACTACGCATTCCATTTCAACGGCCAATCAGATTCCTCCCTGAAACGGATTATCCCAGAGCCTCACGTTCCTTCCCGAGGATCGCAGGCTTGGGGAACGAGATTGGTCCAATCTGAACCTCTATTTGGTAACAGTGGTTCTTAGGCTATGTTTATATAGTTACTGTACATTGTACCGGATAGCTTTCCGTAGCGACGTGAAAAAAAACAACCAAGCCGTACCTTTCAGGAACGCTATTTTCAGAGAAATTATTGCAATGGATAAATGTTGTTCAGCTCAGCTTCTGAAAGTTGTGCATTCCGTATTCCGTATACGAGTTAGGATGGACCACCCTGGAGCTAAGAAGAACAATGACTCGGCTAGCCTTGTTATATAAGATGAGCCGAGGGCAAATCGATGTCGACACCGAGACTCATCTGAATCCAAACACCGAACTTAGAACTCGCGCAAGCCATCAATATAGATATATACAAGACAAAGCCACAAAGAACACGTATTTTTATTCTTTTTTCCCTAGAACTATAAGGCATTGGAATAGTCTACCAGCAGAGATTGCTGAGTTAAATTCCTTTGAACTTTTCAAGTCTGAACTATTAGAATACCTAGTTGACAATCAGGACTAATGTATTTTATCCTATGTACTTGAACTTTTTTTTAGAATTTTATATACCGTACATCATAGATATTTTAGTTTTAAATAGTTGGTGTGATATCATTTGTAGATTTTACCGACTTAATTATATGTAGATGTAGATGTAGACGCTTTATCGCACCGCCAATGAAAGTTATCCATTATAGTGTAAAGTGGCCTGATGGAAACTAGCAAAAGATTCAATAACATACTACCACACAAAGGAGAAAAAAGTTAATAAATCAACTTACTCTCGATCTGTCATATCAAAACATTCTCCATGCAGAGGCGAAAATTCTTCATGTTCTCCCATATCAATCTTGTTTAATCGATCGATCTCACTAGATGAACACATACAGTACAACAATGCGTAAGTCGATTCAATTAAATAACAATACAGTATATTAGTAGTAGTGTGCATGAGGTTTCTGAGCGCGGCGTCCTGTTTATTCCCACTATAGAGGAACAGGACAAAGTCTAATACTGCATCCTTTTAATGAAGCAAAATAGCATTAAATTTTACCAAAAACTCAAAAGGGCCGGAAAACTGAAATATATAAAGATAAAAGGAATATGTTGGCACACAACAAACACTCGAATCACGGCAAACGATTTAATGAAGTAATTGCATTACAAATAAAAAAAAATGTAATTTTGTCTCCTGGGACCGGTTGTTCAAAGGTGGATTAGCGCTAATCCAGGGTTAAAATTTAACCCGCTGTTTTAGTTTGCATATTTCTGCATGTCCATATATTTCAAAATGTCAGAAAAGAAAACTTCTATTGATCCAGACATGGTTTGTGAAGAAATATTTCCAAATTTAAAAACAAGCTGTTAGGAAGTTTCCTTTGAATTTTAAGTTAACCTAGGGTTAAGCTAATCGGCTTTTGAACAACTGGCCCCTGAGTATCGATCCCGAGTTCTTCTCAAACTGGACGTCCCGTGCGCACGTTTTTCAAGCGCATACCCTGGACTGAATCACGCAAATGTGCGCTCGTCACAAATACATTACAATACAGTACAGTACAGTACAGTATATGTAAATATGATTATTAGCATGCCACCACGGTATTTTAAATAACGTCGGTACAGGGGTAAGGAAACATTGTGTTAAAATAAAACAAGCATAATATCAACGAAAGTTAAAACATATTACCTATACAATTGTGGGCCTGTACATTGTGAAATTTAAACCAAAGAATATAAGAATCAAGAATGTCTATATGTTGACAATGATAAAAATTTGTAACTTACGCCAGTTTATTTAACAGGTCATCTTTTTCACGATTTACATCATCGAACTCTTTGCGTGCTTTCTCTGCATCTACAGTAGAAAACAAAATACGTAAATATTAAGCAGCCGTCAGTTAAGCCTGGTTTACACTAGCAATTTTGTCGCCAACGTTTTTCCTCCGGAACGATGAGATTGAATGAGTGACATGCAAAAAACTTAGAAATGTATTACTTCCGAAAAGCTTTCATGACATGAAAAAACTCAATAATATCATGACATGAACGTATATGAGCCGTGCAATGTTGACATTATTGACATTAGCACACACGTGACTAGAAAGTTAGAGTATTTTTAGAAGCACGAGGCTAGAGGACCGGGAAGTAATTCGATACGTTGTATGCTGTTTGTACAAGTTGTTTGGTATCTATTGTCAGGGCCGTCGCGAGCGGGGGGGTGTGGGGGGGTGCTTCACCCCCCCAATAATTTTCGCAAGTCGGCCACAGTCGGCAAATTGCTTCGTTACTGTTCGGCAAATTGCGAATTCGGCATTCAGCAAATTGTAAAAGTTAAGAACGAAGGCGATAAATAAAGCGATAAA